TTTTTCTTTTTTCAAATGTTTATAATCACTTTTGGGTGTTTGTTTGTTTCTGTTTGTGTTTTGGCTTTTAACGCCAATAACGTTCTTTTTCTTTTTTGCGAATCAAAATGGTTGAAATGTAAATTATTATCATAATCATTGCCCTGATTATCATTCGCCAATGGTTAATGGTAGCAAAAATTGGAGGGTTTGTTGTTGTTCTGTTTCTCTCAACTTTTTTTTTTGGATCAAACAAAAAAACATCTGACTATAGCAGGCAGCAGCAGCCGTTTTTTCCTGTATAAAGCACATAATATCCACAGTCACACAGCAAAAAGCAGATGTTCCTCAATGAGAATTATTCTTTACAAAAATTTCTTTTCAATATTGACAACATTCAGTCAGTTTTCTGTTTTGCTTTTGTTTTGTTGGACATTTTAAATACAGTTCTGGTTTCATCAGTGTTTCTTTAGAAAATCAAAAAACCGGATGATAAATTTTTTTGCTCTCCGGTATTTCATTTTATTATCATTCAAAGATTCTTCTGATTTGTCCTGCTAAAATTTCATTATGATTCTCAAAATGATTTTCACTGTTTTTTTTTCTCTCCCTTATTATTCTAACGAATGTTGATGGTAATAACTCAACTATACTAGCAAAATTATTCGACGAAACCAAACCAAACCAACTAACAAATTCAAACCAAGCTGTGCATGTGTCTGTGTGTGTTTGTTATGTGTGCAAAATATATTGGAATATTCTCTCAGAATTCTATCCGATCAAACTGCGCCGATTCCGTTGATTCATTCTATACACATTCTGTATATCGCACCAAACAAACAAGAACTGTATGTAAAATTGTATCAAAAAACGTTGAAAATGTTTCCACCACACTAAAACGGGAGAGAGAAATTACCAAAAAAAAACAGACCAGGCTATATGGAATCTATGAAATTGTTGTTGTACAGAATTTTTTAACTTTATCTGATCTGGTCTTTATTGGCAAATGGATGACGGCGGTGGCGGCGGCGGTGTTTTATGCGGCAGTGAATGAATCCTCTAATGGTCTGCTATTTCAATGATTCATTCGATATTCTATCGACTAGTTGGTTGGTTGGTTGAATTGTATTTGGCAGTTGTTGTTGTTGTTGTTATGATCATCACTATGTTGTAATAGTTTGACCCGAAGAAGAAGACGACAAAAAAGCCGCTTTTTTGGTTTTTCCCTACCAAAATTATCAAATTTTTTTTCTGGTTATTTTCCCGTGTGTGTTTTACATTCATTCATTCATCGACAAGTGTGTCGGGTGGTGTTTCTGGTCGTCGTTGTCGAAATCAACCAGAAAAACACATCATCATCAGCATTCTCATTCACAATTCATTATGTGAAAAAAAATCTCTGTGTATTTCGTATGTTGTGTGTGTGTATGACATAAACACAAAATAAACAAACAAAAACCAAAATCAAATCAAATCAAAACATATAAGATTTTTTGGGTTATTTATTTGTTTGTGTGTGCAACAATATATCCTACCAAATTTCCTTTATAACACAAAAGTAAAATCCAGTAAGTATCTTTTTTTCTTTTCGTTTTTTTGTTCACTGAGAAATATTACAATCAAAAGAATATTTCTGTTTCTTAAATCCAAAAAAACCAAGTGATTGAGAGGAAATGCAAAGCAACGACCATTGATCGAAATCCTTATTATCATCATCTTTGTCATTATTTTTTCATCAATCATCCTTCAAACATTATTATTATCATTATTTTCATATATAGAGTGATCGTTTTTTCACCCCGTTTTAATAACAGTTCAGAAAATAAAACAAGGTAAATTTTGTCACATTGTTGTTAGTCATCAAAAAAAAAACTGAACGAAAACAGAACAATCAAACAAAGTAAAACCGTTGAAATAATACTAACCAACCGACCGACTTACACTAGCACAGGTATATTTGACAATGGCCTTCTTCTTCTTCTTTTTTGTTGGTCCATCGGTAGTTTTAATAATAGCGGTTGTGGTGGTGGTGGTGGTAGATAAAATAGTATAATGATAATGATGACTTTTAAAATAATGTCACTTTGTACCAAACAAACATAACCACCAAAATACCAACAAAAAAAATAACACCGATCCAAAAAGAACATTTTTACTCAATATTGAGACGAAATAACATTTACCTTTATTATTATCGTTTTTTTCCAAGTATCAAAAAAACCGAAATACATTCTGTAAATTTCGAATCCGATTCCAAATTCAATAACCGAGAGAGAAGAAGAAAAAAACAAATTTCTGGTTTGTGCCTGGTGTTCTCTGCGTTGGTGTTCTCAATTTTGTCATCTGGTACCTGAGGTTTGGCATCTTTGTCATCATCATTAAAAAAATATAGTCATTTTATAAGAAGATATCATTAACAAAATATGTATGTACGTTTGTGTGTGTGTTGTTTGTATGTCTATCTTTAGAAGAAAAAAAAAGAGAATATATTCTGTCAAAACATTTGGGAAATGAATCTTTCTTTCTCTCTTTTTTTTATAATGACAATAATGATGATGATGACAAGTGAATTCCTATGTGTGTTTATGTTTGTTTTGCATTCATCATCATCATCATAATACCATTATCAATTTTGCGTTCTGTGTGTGTGTTTGTTAGAATTCTGTTTACCAGTTATGATCTAAAGATGTATTTTTTCATTCTTAGAATCATCATAAACAAAATGATTTTTCTCTTTTCTTTAATGATGATGGTACTTTGTTAAGGTAGTGTAGTGTGTCTGTAGAATTCAATTTCAATTTCAACAAATTTTTTTTGCTGTTGAAAATTGAAAAAAAATTTTTGTTTCCCATAAACCAAGCAATGTCTGTCATCATCCAAATCATCATTCAATCATTTTTATGTCCATAGGCATCATCATCATTTGGGATTTGTCCTTTTTCGTTGCTGCTGCTTCTATGTCTGCATCCAATTATTCTGATTGTTTTTTTGTTGTTGTTGTATGTTTGTTTGTTGAAATATTTTCTGGTTTTTTTCTGCGAATTAAATTGATGATTGGATCATTTCTCTGTCCGCATCACGTCATATTTGATTTCAATTTGTGTGTGTGTGATGTGATGTGTTTTTCTAATATTTTTCAATTCAATTCAATCAATTCAAAATTTGAATGAAAACAAAATTTTTTTTTTGCAAAGAAACTTTTTTAGAAACATTTTTTTCTTGGAAACTTTTTACATTTTAAGAAAATTTTTCAAAAAATAATTATTGATGTTTGTGAATGTTACTGTTGAAATTTTTGTTTTTCTTTCTCCACCGAAAAAAAAGGTCTGTTGGAATCATCAATGTATTCAGCAAATGTTTAATTCAATTACATTATCATTTACAATCGATTATATGAATGTGTTTGTGTGTGTATGTGTGAATCCCGTGAAGAATATTCTTTCGAAAAACACACACATTGAAATTCGTTTTTGTTTCCGGGAAAAATATTCTCTTATTTGTTATTAGATTTTTCTACAACAACAACAATTCATTCAACCAAATGGCCAATGATCTTTTTCTTTTGGCTAAATTCCATTATAAAACAACACAAGTCACAAATGTTTAACCAACTTGGTTGGTTGGATTTAATATTTTTATTTTTTCATTCATTCATTCATTCAAGCTGTAATTGGACAGAAAGATTAATTGATGAAAATTAAGTGTTCTCTGTTTCTGTTTTGTGTTTGTGTGAAACACAAACACTTACACTCAATGAAATGAAATGAATCACACTTTATTTTATAAAATGAATTTCGACAACAACAACTGTATAAGAATATTCTCTCTTAATAATGGTAATTGATCCATCTGTATGGTGAAACAGCAATTCCACTCAATTGTTTTTAGTTGATGAAAACAAAATATAAAGTAAAATTATTTTCTCGTTTTTCGCTTCGTTCAACCTTAAAGTTGTTGTTGTTGTTTGATTCAGAAAAAAATACTGATGCTAGTGATGCTACTGTTTTCAATTATTAATTCAACTATTACTTTCTTATTGTTTTTATAAATTAATAATTTAATCTGTTCATCAATTATTACCACCATCATTACTGCAATCATCACCCATTCACAGCAAAAAAAAGTCAATTTATTTTAAGGATTTCTGCATTCATCTTGATTATCAACACCAATTCTATTGACCAAACCTATTTTAACACCAATAGAACAAACAAACAAACATACATAGAAATAAGAATTGATAACCATTTGTTTGGGTCTGTTATTTATTTTTCGGGTAAAGAATTTCCGAATATCGGTGGTCCTGGTGGTGGTGGTGATAACAACCAAACCTACACAAGCGAATATTAATGATAATGATGGTTCAATGTTTAAGAATTTTCAAAGAATCCATTAATCAATGATTAAAACACACACAACTATTGTGAAAAAATAGTAATGATTCTTGGTAGTTAGTAAGTTGGTTGACAAATTCTTCTTCATTTTTCCAAAGAATTTCCCTTTAAATAAATAAATAAATAAATTGATCTAACGAGAATCATCATTATAATTATAATTATAATGATTATTAAGAATAAACAACTATGACCATCATCATTATAATTTTAATGAAAAGTTTTTTCGTTTTTCTCGTTTTGAAAATATTTTCAATTTATCAATTTCATATTAACTATTTTCTGGTATAACAAGTAAAGTTTTTTTTGCTGGAAAAAGTTTTCCATTATCTTTTGTTTGCCCAAAACAAATGTCGGGTTTCCATTTACATTTTTCTTTTTTCTTTTTTTAGTTTTGGTAAAAAAATATTCAATGCCCTTATGCTGTTTATTCCCTTAGTTTTATAATGATGTTGATGATGATGATGGAAATACTTTTTCATTAATAATTTTTTAATGTTTTTTTTTCTTTTTTGTTTCTTGTTTCCAAAAAAAAAATCTACAACCAAAAACAACACACAGAATGTTACCAGATTGATGATAATGGAATCGATCGATTTGATCCGGTTTGATGAATTTAGGTTAACCTTATTATTAAACATACTGTGAATATTCATCAAGCAAAGCGAAAATAAAACCAAAAAGGGAGCCACCAAATATAATGAAACTATGGAATCAATAAAAAACATTAAATATTATCATCATAGACATTGTTTTTTATCATCATCCGCATCATTAATAATGAGGATGGTGATAATTTTGTTGTTGTTGTTGTTGTCATCATTAACATCGGTGATTACGGCCAAACCAACAACTGGTCAACAACAACAACGATTATTTCAATTTGATTATTCTCAGATGTTGGCGATAAATACGACAACAACAACAACAACACTTTTGCCATCAATATTGACAAAAATCAATCATCATAATGAAATTATTCATAACAACAATGATGATCATCATCATCAACTGCAAAATCCACATCTTGATATTAATCTAATTAATTTATTACCCGAAGCAAATTTATTATTTTTAGATGAAACAAATTTTGTTCATCAACAGGAAAATTCAAATCAACGACCAATCTTTAATAAATTGAACAGATTAAATGAATCAAAATCATCATCAATTATTAATAAGGATGAACAGGACAAAATCGTTGATATTCGGTAAGTATTTTTGCATTATTACTTAATTTCATTGATTGAATGTATGAATTAATTAGTTTTCACATACGACATTGCATTGGACAACTGTGCCATAAAGAATTTTGGTCGTAAAAAAGAATTCTGGAGACTATTTTTGGAAAATAAAAGAAAATCTAATCAAAAAATTCTTGCTTTTCGTTTCATTTTTTCTTTTAATGATCAATCCTTAAGGGCAATATATTTTCTTTTTCCTCTTTTTCGTTTGATTCAAGATTCGATTCAATAAGAATTATTTAGTTTCCTTAACTTTTTTGTTTTCCATTCTTCTTTGCTTCATCATCATCTAATTTCTAGTTAGAGTTTTTCGTCGTTCTGTTTTTTTCTTTTTTGTTTTGTTTTATTTGCTTCATTAGTGACAATGATGATGATGACGATAAAAATATATAGAATTTTCAAGAATAATAATTGCAATGGAAGAAAAACAATAGAAAATATATTCTTTCGTTCATTCCAGAAGGGAAATTCTTTGTTTTTTTCGTTCATTCGTTCCATTGTGACATATTATTCACATTTGAAAACTTTGAATTAGTTGAATGAATATTATTATGGATGAATGAATAGATTTATTCATAATAATAATAATAATTCAAGAGAAAGAAAAAAGCAAAGCAAAGAAATTCTTGTTAAAATCGAATCGGAATTGAAAATGAAAATGAAAAAGAAAATGAAAAGAAATATTCTGGCTATTTTCAAGCAATTTATTCATTCATTCATTCATTCATTCCAGTCGACAATATGTCTTGGATTCGGAATTTGTCTTTGTTTTTTCTTACTTGAGTTTGAATAATGTTTTTTTTGTTTTGTTTTTGGATGAAAATTTACGGGATTTTTTCCGTTTTTTCTCTCTACATTTATTTATTTATATGCTTTGTAAATCACAAAACAAAAACAACAGAAAAAAAACATTTATTATTCTTTAGTTCTAAGGGATAAATATCTTCGAGAGAATTTCACTGCTTTCATCATTTTGTTTGTTTGTTTGATGGTTCAAGATTGTCATTCATTTCATTCAAGTCAGTCCAGAATTTTGTTTTTCCCCCCTTTTGTCCATTAGTCACCATATTGTCACCATCAATTATTAGTTGTAACAAATTTCTTTATCGAAATATATTGGTCACATTTCAATTCTTTCTTTCCTTCTGATCATATGATATTCTCATATAATGTATATCATTCATTCATCCATCTTGAATTCTCGACTGCTGTTTTCTTCATACATTAACACATTTGACATAGATTTTTTTTTGTTTGTTTATTCTGGATTCGTTCTAGTTTCTGAACAAAAAAAACATTGAAAAAAATAGATGTTTTTTGTTTGTGTGTGTAAAGATTTATTTTGTTTTCTCTCCATTTCCATTCTATTTCGCATCTAATGTCATTAGACACATATGTTTGTTTTTCTGGTTCTGGTTCTGGTTAATATGGTTCTTCAAATGGTAAATGGTTACTATGTTTTTTTTATAGTTGTCGTTATTCAAACTTGATAAATTTTCACACATCCGAAGCAAATCTAAATGAATTACGTTCTACATAAATAATTTTCTTCATTAATTTTCATAATTTCGTTTGTAGAAAACACAAACAGGGCATATACCATACACATATATTTACATTAAATGGCCCGGTATAGTGTGTTAATTACTTTAACACCATCCACACCACTAAGCATTGAGTGTGTGTGTGTGGACGTTTTCCGGTACAAAACTTTTCAATCAATTTTTTTTTACATCAACATCATAGACAATGATGATGATGGTGGAAAATGAATTTTTCTCATTCTCATTCTCGATAAGTTTTTTTTCCTGTATGTTCTTGTTATTCTCATTATTTTTGTTCATAAAAAATAATTATATTCATGAAGGGAAAATTTTCCTTCTTTTTTCTTTTTCCCGGAAATATTTCACAATGTTGTTGTTTAGCTGTTAAGTTTGTTGTTAAATTCCACTCGATATTGTTGTTGTGTAATTATAATAACGACGTCGTCGTCGTAATCGTCATTGATCATCATCATCATCACATCATCATCATATTAACAATTCAACAACAGAATCCAAAACAGAATAATTAAGCTAATTATAAATAATTTTGCTTTGTTTTTTCTTCTTTTCTCGTGTTTGCTTGTATGTTTTGGTCGTTATTTTAGATATTTTTTTTATTTGGCTGATCGATTTTCGATCATTCAACAAACAAACAAACAAACAACCGATAAAGATTCTGACACTATAATCATGATGATAATGTATTTACTGCTGCTGCTGCTGCTGTTTCGAAAAAATAATTACAACCGATAAAATTCACTATAGATAGATATTTGTGTGAATTTTTTTTCTGCCTGTTTGTTTCGGTTTTATATAGAGATAATAATTTTCGGAAATGATTTTCATTTTCAATGATGATAATACAAAAAAAAAGAAATTAATCGAAAATCGAATGAATGAATGTTCTTCTTATTATTTGACAATTTTCATTCGATTATCATCATTTTCATTCGGTTATTATTAATGAAATTACCCGGATCTGTATATTCGATTACTCGATTCAAAAACAAAAACCAAAAGAAAAAAACCGATTATATCTCGTTTCATATTTTATGATTAATATATTTTTTTTTTTGTGAACAACCAACATTCATGTTTTCCATCTCTCTGTGCGTTTGTTTCTAAGTATTATTATTATTATCATTTTCTTTTAATTGAAAAGAAATTTGATCCAAACAAAATCTTTCGGTTGGAAAATTGCTTTTTTTCATGTATATAAGAATATGATTCTGTTTTTGGTCATTGATAATGGTCAGAAAACAAAAAGTTTTCATTCACAATTTAATTCATTGTGTCTTTTGAATCTCTATTTTTTCGATATTTTCGTAAAATATTTTCCTTGATCTGAATACAAGAAATTGAATGCATCTCATTCAATTTATACAATCCAAAATGGAACTCCTGCAAAACTTTGGTTATAAAATGGTAACCTTTTTTCTGTTGTTGTTGTTCATCGTTTCAGGAGAGTGAGTAAAGATTCTCAACTTAATTTAGAGCTCAGAAAGAAAGGAAAAAGCAACCAAACAAACGAACCGAAAACGAATACCAAAAAAACATAAAAGGATTATGATTCACACAAATATACGCACAAATAGAAATAGAATTCACAATGGAATGTGTATCCCTGTATAGCTCTCTTCATTTGAAAAAACTAAACGAGAAACGCTTCAGCAATCAACGAGTGAAAACGAGTGAAAGAATGAAGAAAAATAAAGAAAAACGGATGCTTTGAAAAGGATAAATTGTTGTTGTTGTTGAAATAGCATCCCGACAGAATTTATATTGAAAAAAAAAGAAAAAGAAAAACTATCCTTGGCTTTTTTTTTCTTCCTGAGTTTCAAACTGGATCGATCAAAGTAAAATATATTTATTTTTTTTTGGAATTTTTATTGTTGTTGTTGTTGTTGTTGTCAGGGTAAATATTCTTTTCACTATTCACACACACACACACACTTAACTTTTCTACAGGAATTTTGGAATTTTCAATACGTTTTTGTTGTTGTTGTTGTTGTTATTATCGTTTTTTTTTTCATCAAATGACATAGAGTTTCATAAGAATCTCATATGATGTGTGTTTGGTCGGTTGAGTTGAGTTGGTGTTTGTCATCATTATCATCATCATCATCATCATTGTGGTTGTACGAAGCTTATTCAAATTGAATTTGAATTTCAAAAAAAAATTCTGCATGAATGAATTTGTGTGTGTGTGTGGTTTTCTTTGGTATACTTTTGAAAATTTATTGGTTTTTCTTAACGAACGAAAGAAAAGAATCCGACGATCGAATTAAGATTACCCATTAATATAATAGATTTATTCTGGTGGTGGTAGCCCATTTGAAACATGGTTTCTTTTTTCTTTTGGTTTTGGTTTCGAAGATAATAAATTTAAAGATTTTCGTTCTTTTGGTGGTGGTATTATCATTTTTTTTCTGCTTCCAACCAGAATTAATCCTTTTTGATTGAAATAAAATTTTTTCGAAGAAATTTTCCAATAAATTTTATTTTCTTTCAAGAAATTTTTTTTTCCGAAAAGTTTTTCCTTGTTAAATTAAATTTTTCAGCCCAAAGAAGATTGAAAAAAAACCAATTTCATTTTGATTTTGATTTTATCTTTTCACCTTTCTCTCATCAAATTGTTGATGAAAATCAACGAAATTCTCACACCTGGTATTCTGTGGTATGAGAAAATTATAATTCAATTTCTGGATTGTGTGATTTGAGGACAACAAGAAAAACAAAAATTTTTCCAATAAAGTCTTCGATAATGATGATGATGATAGAATGAACAATTTTTTCTGTGCTTTCCTCTAATAATTCTTGTTCATATTCGGGATGTTTTCTTTCCATTGCATTCCGGGATGCTCATGAATTATTTATTAGCAGAGAAAGAAAAAAGAAAAATTGGTTATGTAATTCTGGATTTTTTTCCCGTTGTTGTTGTTGTTGTTATTGCCAAACTTCCATTTGAGAAACGAAAAAAACAATTGAAAATTGAATGAATGAATGAAAACATCGGTTGTCTGTCAAACAAGAACCAAAAACAACAACAAAAACAAACGAAAAATTTTGGGATGTTAATGTGATGATTATCAATGATGTTTATGTTTTTCAACATTCAATTTTTTTTTTGGAAAATATTTGTTGCCAAAAACGAAAAATTGAATATGCTGAATCAGCTTTGGAAAAAAAGAAACTTTACTGTAAAATTATTATTTGAATCAAACGTTTTTCCAATGTTTTTCCAATGTTTTCCATTGGCATTGATCCAAATTGACTTTCATAGCCAAGAAATAATAATGATTGAAAAAGAAAATTTGAAACAATTTTCTTTTCATCATTATTGCTGTGATAGCTAAGTAAATAAATCGTAAACAGAAAATTTTTCCAATGAATCGAATCAAATCGATCATAAAAACAATATCA